CCACATAGTGATTAATTATCTCGAGACAGCAGACAATTATTGCTTAAAGKTACTGGAGACCTTCAGGGGTATGTTTCATTTAAGACTCTGTCTATGCAACAAAACCCCATAAACAAAAACCCCATAAGACTATTATCGTTTTACAGGTCATATGATAAAGATGTAGAAAACAATATTGTATTTTTATTTATATAAAAGTGATTTTTTAATTTGAACAATGCCGAGCCTTAAACACAAATCGGGCATGTTCCGTGTACGTGAATTAATGGAAATGGTGTTTGCATAATAGCCAAAAGAACTTTACTATGTGAATAAGCAAAAGATAATCTACAAAAGGGTATGAGCAATTTTGAGCAATTATGAGCAATTATGAGCAACTTTTCAAAGAAGCAAAATATCTAAAAAAAAGTGTGTTTCCTGTTGCATGATAAAAATGATTGGGGTTGGTAGGACAAATTTTTTTTTACTGATACAACAATGGAAATTAGCTCACTAAAAAATATTAGATGAGAATATGTGGACCGCATGGCACTAATGAAATACATGAAGATATAGAAATATAAATAAGTTATAGTGCTTGGGAACGAGGTTATTCCGGGCGAAAGCCCTTGGATTTAAATTCGGAAAAATTAATTTCCAACCTCGCTGGGAATTGAACCCACGAACTTCGGAATCGACCTTCTATTAATTATTTCGCCCGGAATAACCTCATTCCCAAGCACTATAACTTATCTATATTTCTATATCTTCATGTAAAAAATATTAGCGTCGGCAAAAATCAGCAAGAAAATTAGGGTCTGTCACGCAACAGGATCGAAACACACTTATTTTTTTGTTTGGCCTCACACCCTTTTGTAGAACTTTTATCTTTTGCTTACAGCTGCTGTATTTACATAGTGAAATTCTTTTGGCTATCGCTGCGTTAATGTCATGTCCATCAATTCACCTCTACAGAACATGCCCAATTTGTGTTTAAGGCTCAGGCATCGTTCCAAATTAGAAAATCGCTTTCAAATGATATTATTTTCAAAATCTTTACCTTTAAGACAACGTATAGTTTTATGGGGTTTTGTTTAACACGTGTTGTGTAGAGAGAGTCTTAAGAGAAACATGCCCCTGAAGGTCTCCAGTAACGTTAAAACCAACAACAAGTTAGGGGCAGACCATTTGATAATTGAAGGGGTATTGCAAAAATGTCCAGCAAATACTTCCATACATATACATATACCACCAGTGTCCTTAATAATTTAAACTTTAGTTCTAACCATACCATGGTAAGCTAGATTATAAAAAAGCTTAAGTTTAAAATAAGGCTTAAAATAACAGCCACACAATGTCTGGCCAAGATTRGACTTTGTCCAGWTAAATATTTGCCTTGTCMGTCACTATGAACCATTAAAGTTGAGCCACAAAAACAAGGTATGACTGAGCTAAATTAATTTGACCAGTGATCATGAACTGCGACTGAGCAGCCACTATTTGAGCCCTGCTGTAATGTGTAAATACTTTTACATCTAGAAACAGCTTAGTACAATAATTTTAACCTACTTCAAGGACTCTTGATGACCAGATCCTTCAATTGTTTTAGCACCCCATCTCTGTTCTTCCTCAGATACATCATTCTAGATAAATATTAAAATGAATAAACTAGTTATTTTCATGGAAACATTGAAAATAATATTAAGCAATTATCAGGACACCACAACAATGGTGACCTTTTTTATTACATATATTTATGGAAATGCTAAAGATGCTCATTCACTCAGTTAAAAAAAACATTAATTTATCAAATGTGACATTTTTTGCTTCATTTCTACYTATGAGAACAACAACAAACATGCCGGGACAGTTTTGTTCAAGATGTGCTTATTTTGTTCCTCAAGAAAGAGTTTCTAGTTTAAATGCCTCATAGAAAACCATCTTGAAAACAGATTATTATAGTTATAAGTGCATTATATCATTTTAGTTTTTTTCCACTACTAAATGACTTGTCACCTAGTTTAGGATAGSTGCAGAAATGACCCATTTTTTAAGTCATTTTATTTTCAGGTTGCAAGGTGACTGGTGCACCTAATTCTTTAGACTTTTTTTGTGTGTTTTATTTTTATCAACTGGCATGAGTTTCAGAAAATTGACATTATGTCAAATAACTGTGCACTATTAATAATAACATATTATTAAGTATTTTAGTAAACTTATCAGTTTGTACACATTCAAATAATAGTAAACTAATTAGAAATCAGTACTTGGTTCACAGAACACATGACTCTTGCTCCCCTTTCCCATCTCAACTCAGAATAGAATTATGTCATCAAATTACAAATCATGCACATGCTTGAAACCRTTTTTCTTTTAAATTTTCCCCTTGCTTTTTTTAATTTAATTGTTARTTTTCTGTGGTAAAAATACAATTCCCTCCAGGTGGTATGTATTTACTTTTTTTTTGTCATCGAGCCGTCAAAATATGTTGTGGACTCCCTCAACTACACCTTGTGAGTTCACAACATTTTGACAGCTAGATGAAGAAAATCATAGTAAATAAGAGGACATACCATGTAAAACTGGAGGAAATTGGTTGAGTAAAGCCCGGTCCAGGGGGGAAAGGGGGGGGGTCATAGAGTTGATGATAGTTGCACATAGTTTCAGTACTGGAATATTTTTAATTTGAATTGGTGTACTAGTGTATGAGCATTCCTAGCTTTGGTCTCATTTTGACCTTTAGAACGACAAATCCGAGAATACACACAAAGAAAGTCTCACGRTCTTAATAGGAATGCATAAAACAAATTAATAGATCTTCAATAAACCATACAAAGGGATGAAAGCTGATAATGAATCGAATCTGAAATAGTATAAAGCTTTCGTTCGTCAAGTTCGATTCTGTAAATACTTCGACTTCTTACTGACTAAAAGTCTTCTCGGGAGCTGTAAATGTTAATCAACTTCATAACTTGATAGGCAAACGATCTTTTGGTTCACATATATACAAAAATACGCTATGATTGAGGAGCTGAATCTAGTCCGGAAGGCTGACTATGAACCGAGTCAAGGATAAACATTTCCTACAGAAAAAGGTACAAAAYATCTTACCACGAAGTCAGGATCAGTTTCCCAATCATCGTCTTCAGCGTTATCACCGCCTAAAGGGACATTAATGCCTGCTTGAGCCTTCCACATGATCTTTTGAAGTAAGATTGAAGAAATGTGGAAATAACTTGCTGGTTTGTATTACTTCCTGCAACCCTGCCCCCTGTCACGTGATACTAGCAAACTGACCACAGCTAGCCACTTGCACTAAAAGTTGAAAAGCGTTTTCACAAAATAACACAAAAATT